TAGTCAGTGTAATAATTCAAGCAATAATTTAGTGTTATTAGCAATTGCTATTAATAGGTTCATCACAAAAGATGCCAAAGTCTCCTCCCCCAGTAGCACCTAAACCAAGATCATTATCACAAAGTGGACGATCTCAGCCATTGTCAACAGCAAGTAAACCACGACCACTTTCACAAACTGCCCAACCTCCACCAACTGCATCTAAACCACGTCGACCATCACTAACTACACAACCTCCTCCAAAAGCACCTAAGCCAAGACGATCTCAAGATTCATCATCAGCTCCACATGATCCTACAGCAGCAGTACTGCAAGATAAGGAGGGGAAGAAAGATCCATCATCATTAGAACCAATGGAAGGATCAATGTCACCAGAATACATTACAATGAAAGAGATGTTAGCTGATCTTGTTGATCTATTGGCAGAAAATGCTCCAGTTATTTCTCAGATAAATAATCATCTCTTTTCATCTGATCTCATTCCTAAAGCAGTACATGTTACTGTGGAAAGTACTGCAGGACTCACTCCTTATGATAGAACTAATAAAATATTCTCTTCAGTACTAGCAACACTTGAGTGTCATCCTAATCCTAACAGTGTGTTCTCTTCTCTCGTTACTTCACTACAGAAAGTAGGACTAAAGAACATGGCATCTAAACTAATGGAAAAATTAAGTAAGATATACAGTATCTTATACCTTATTTATTTATTATCTAAATTTTCTTTTATAATAGAAATGAAAGGTGGTCATGTTGATGCTAATCTAGAGCAGCAACCATCAGTCAGTGAGGGACCACTTCAACCAGTGGGTGTCACTGCACAATCTCACACACCACAACCAACAATCACTGGATCACAATCATCTACTCCTACTACTGTCATTGAGCTCAGTTCAAAGGATGAAGTTGCTGCCAATATTGGAGGTCTTAATTCTCGTTTTGCATCTCTTGATTCTAATATAAGAGACGAGTTTGAGGAGCTGGTGGAAAAGGGTAAAGTGAAACTTAAAGCTGAAGTACAAGTGATTGAGTCTAACAGTAAATATTTTTATAAAAAAAAGAATCACAAAAAGGCAAAATGCTGCCAAAAATTGTAAAAATATAGGAATTATAAGTTATTATACACTAGGATCATTGTACGCCCTCTAATAAAAAATTAAAAAAAGAATGAAAAAATTACTACCAGATCCATGTATAATGGCATATGCTTACATTAGCTTGTGCTTTGAAGTTCTGTTGTCCACAGAATTATATACTGGAATAATGGACCAAGGACTAGAAAGAGAGAGAGGGAGGGAGGGACAATAATTATTGATTCCAATACATTAATAAAACGTACAATTGATTTTTGTTTCCTGTCACATGATAAAAGATAGACCACACCCATTCCATCCTAGCAGCTGCAATGACTTACTGGTACAAAAACCAGCATCACCTGGAACAACACACAAACAAACATCATTAATAAAATAATATAATATTATCATTTTACCTATTATACTGTATTAAAATAATAATATACACACATTAACTGACTGACTGTGTTTAATATTAGGAGAAGAGACTGGAGAGGTGAAGTGGGGCAGTGATAGTGTATCCCTCACTAAACCATCAGCAGGTCAATGTCAGGAAGTGATCAGTCAATTAACGGACAGTCATCGGACCATTTTCCTCCGTCACTTATCACCTGATATTGTATACTTGATGATGTCTCAAGTACTAGACATAAGAACAATAAAGGGGATTGGTATATTTAACACTAAAATAACAATAGATGTCATCCTCTTACTGTCACACAAAATAACAAACAATGCTTCATTAGAGATACTATCGATCAGTGCTGATTCCATCAGTGATGATGGAGTCATTGCACTAACACAATCATTAATTAATAATAAAACAATTACTCGCTTACTTCTTCATAACAATCCTGACATCACTTCAAGCAGTGCTCAGTCACTAGCTGAACTTTTACTCTACAACCACACACTATCTTACCTTTATCTCTTTGGTACTAACATTGATACTGATGGAGTACTGGTACTGATGGAATCTCTCAGGACCAATAATACACTATGGAGACTATGTCTAGACTATAAACATAAACAAACTTGTTATTCTTTACCTTATTATAAAACTATTGAAAACAGATTATACTTTTGGTAATTATTTTATATACATGTACACATTAGTTTATTAATAAATTATTAAATGGAAAAAATAATTTTAAAATGTACGTACCGCCAGATTGACCACACCCCTCATGCCAAGAACACGTCCATTATTCACATGAGGGAAAGAGAGAGAGAGAAAGGGAAAGGAGAAGATAAAGATGATGTAAACACACTACAAGTACATGTACATGTCCATATAAACTTATACCACTATCAAACTGATGGACTCAGTTTCTGTTGAGAACTAGAATACAATTACAGAAATTGGTGAGTTTTAATTTGGCAAATTAGTGTCCATGTGCCATTGAGCATGTACATAATGGTACAAAATGGTGTTTTAATTAATTTGACAAATGGCTATAAAAATGGATAATTTGTCAAAATTTATTCCTGGGCCGGTGTCCAAAATTAACTGGTATATGGTTAGTGACAATATAAAGTTAATTAATAAAACTAATTAATTAATAATTTATTAATAATGTCACTTATTGATTGTCTGGTGGTTAATGAATATTCTTTATCTTTAGAGTGTAATCCTTTATCAACATCTTGAACCAGCAATAGATCAATTGGTATACGTCCTAAATAATAAATAAATAATAATAATAATAATAATAATAATAATAATAATAATAATAATAATAATAATAATAATAATAATAATAAGTATTTAATGATGGGTGGGTAACTTCTATTTTAAAGGTGCAGATTCTAACTCTTTTAATTAACATGTACATGTAATACAATGTATGTTGTATTACCAGAAATTCATTAACTTAAGTGACATGAACATTTCCTAATATACCCTCCCTTATAAGGTAGTGCCATGTGTACATGTACTGGAGTGTCTCCATTATAATGAACCAGTACCTAGGAAAGGGACTTGACATTGTTTAGCTAATTCTTCACCTCCTCCAGTGGAAAATACATTAGTACATTCCTAATGAGAGGAGAGAGAGAGAGAGGGAGAGAGAGAGGGAGAAAGAGAGAGAGAGAGCATTATTAAAAGAGAAGGACATAAGTACATGTACACATATAAAGATAAAGAGAGAGAGGAGGAGGTGATGGAGTGTACATGTACATTGAATGTGTCTTTATACTCACTGAACAGT